TTTTTTTCCGCCGCCATTTTGTCTTCACGAAGTAAAGACATGTTTCTTTCTTTTCTTTTTATCTACTCAACACTTTTTCCAACAATCTACTAGCCGAATTACACATTTTATCTAACAAAACTGCTTAATCATGACAAATATTCACAGCAAAATTGGGAAAAAGTGCACAATAGCAAACTCCTTGCGTGTTTTTCAGAATAACACATACACATAAACCATGTACACGTCGACTTATTTTTACTTAAAAAAAATCCCATAATTGCACAAAAATGGCATTGCACACACTCTTCACTATATCATCCATGTACACTGCTTTTTCTTATAAATTAGAAAAATTTCACGAAAATACATGACAATTTTCTGAATCTTTAAACCCGGTAAAAAGAACATATATGAAATTACCTGATCGCGAAAAAGTATATACCCTTTTCAAATATGAACATTTCCACGTAAAATAAAATATCCAAAAACTTTTACCTCTAAATCATCTATTACATAAACGTCACCAACGAATTCATACCTGCAAACATTACAAATACTTAGTATCAAATATTTAAATTATTTCCATGCACGTTTACTTCAACTTAAACGTATACCAAATTCCTACAAACATAAAATTCACAAAATAACTATCATTTAATTAAAATATCACTAAACCATGTACACGTCGACTTATTTTTACTTAAAAAACATCCCAGAATTGCACAAAAATGGCATTGCGCACACTCTTCACTATATCCATGTACACTGCTTTTTTCTCATAAATTAGAAAAATTTCACGAAAATACATGACAATTTTCTCAATCTTTAAACCCGGTAAAAAGAACATATATGAAATTACCTGATCGCGAAAAAGTATTTACCCTTTACAAATATGAACATTTCCACATATAAAATAAATAAAATATCCAAAAACTTTTACCTCTAAATCATCTATTACATTATACACGTCACCAACGAATTCATACCGCAAGCATTACAAATACTTATTGTCAGATATTTAAATTATTTCCATGCACGTTTATTTCAACTTAAAACGTATACCAAATTCCTACAAACATAAAATTCACAAAATAACTATTATTTCATTAAAATATAATTAAATTCAAAAAACACTACTTAAAATATAAATGAGCACATACATTAAATTAATAAAAAATTACCTTACAATCCTAATTACTTTAAACTAATCATTGCTAATAACAATTTTCCAATAATGCCAAATTACTTTACTTCCACCTTACATTTAGAACAATGCCTAAAAATAATATCCTCAAATAATTAAAAATACTAACTTACCTAATCTTCTTCAGAATCTTGCTTACATGGTGGATACACTTTTATTATTGATTCAATAGAATTATTGAATGATTTTTTCTGGGAATTTTTCCTCCACACTTCCTCCGCTAAATAAAAAGCAAAATTCTCGGCTGATCTTTGGAATATGGTAAGTGGTAGTTTAGCGACATTTTGGAGGTGATAAAGGTTACTACCTAGGACTTTGGTAATAATGTGAGACTCAGTTCCGATTACGCATTATTTTGTGTGAGGGAAATGAGAGATCATGATATATGTCGTGACATTAATGGACGAATTACAGTTGTTTAATCGGAAAAGGGGGGAAATCTGGAAATTTCGTATTTAGCTTTATTCTGTATTGTGTGAAACGTGACATTAATGGATGAATTACAGTTTTTTAATCGGAAAAGGGGGTTAATTTGGAAAAATTATTTTGTATTAAGCTTCATAGTGTGTTATGTGAAATAGTGTTGATTAATTTTTGGATTGCATGGCACTATGTAAAGTGAATTTTAAATTTTTAATGCGTTTATCTGATAATAATAATAAGTTGAGATTGTGTGAAAGGAAGGATATTACAGTTAAGTTGAAATGGCGGTGTAAGAAATATGGTGAAAATGGACATTTTGTGAAAAGGAGTGTAAGGAAGGGTACGTGGTTTGCTGAAAGTAGTTTGAGTATAGGTGAAATTTTATTAATTTCTTATTAGTTGGTGAATAGACTTTCAGTTGACTACTGGATTTAGGATTTAGAAATTAGCAGTAGTACTGCAGCCACGTAATGAAGATTCTGAAAAAGATTAGGTAAGTTAGTATTTTTAATCATTTGAGGATCTATTTTTATGCTTGTTCTAAATGTAGGAGTAAATTAATGTGGTATTATTGGAAAATTGTTATTAGCAATGATTTAGTTTAAAGTATTAGGATTGTAATTTAATTTTTATTAATTTAATTTATGTGCTTATTTATATTTTAAGTAGTGTTTTTTAATTTAATTATATTTTAATTTAATGATCGTGATTTTGTGAGTTATATATTTGTAGTATTTTGGAATACATTTGAGTAGTATACGTTGAGTATTTTTCATGCATTTTCATGAAATTTTTCTAATTTATGAGAAAAAAGCAGTGTACATGGATATAGTGAAGAGTTGTGCGCAATGCCATTTTTGTGCAATTCTTCTGGATGTTTTTTTAAGTAAAAATAAGTCGGGCGTGTACATGGTTTATGTGTATGTGTATTTTGAAAATGCGTAAGGAGAATGGTATTGTGCAGTTTTTCCTAATTTTGCAGTGAATATTTGTCATGATTAAGCAGTTTTGTTTGAAAATTTCTAGCATAAGTGTAATTCGGCTAGTAGATTGTTGGAAGAAGTGTTCAGAGATAAAAAGAAACAGAACATCTTTACTTCTTGAAGACCAAATGGGCGGCGGGGGAAAAAAAATAGAGGGTTGCTGTAGGAGAGTTGGTCGCCAAATTTTCGCCAAAAAATCGCCAAGTTACCATAATGTAAAGATCAACCCTTTTTTCAACGTTGGAAGCAGTAAAATCCTGAATGCTTTTCTTATCTGTCACAGTATTAAAAAGTGCAAAAATTTAAAATATCTGAATAAAAATAACAAAACAGCAGCATTAAACAATTTCGAGAAATTACAAAGCTCAGAAAATACAACAACATGAATCGTGAACTTGAAAGAAAAGTTGAGTGAACCTGCTTTTTTACCTCGATGCAGATTGGAGGAGGAAAAACTTTTACCATGATGTAAATAATTTGATATTTCCAGCTGTGCTATTTCCGTTATGACACATTATTATTCAGCAATTATGACGTCATTATTCAGTAAGTATTTTTTGAGCATTTCGTTTTCCATGTTGCGGTGTCTGGAACCTATAAATTGAATGTTTATATTTGTGAGGCAATGCAGATTTCAGGTATTCGACTGTATTACCCTTATTGTTCTCTTTTGGAACAATACTGCTTATGAATGTCAGCATGCCTGTAACTACTACTCAAAAAGCAATCTGCATTACAACTTTGAATTTTCATGCGATTCTGTGTTTTCAGGTAAAGAGTCTTATGAAGAAAATGATCAGGATCACCAGGGACATTTAAAAAAAAGAGTACTGAAAAGGATGAAGATGATATGGATACACACAACTTGATGTAGTTACACATGCTATACCTATTACAATTGTATACAAAATTATGAAACACAAAAATGCTACTAACTCAGCTAATGTAAGACCTAGTGATCTGAACTAGGTTCAAGTAAGTAAATCCCTAACAAAAGAAAGAGAAAAGAAAGAAATACATTTGGCTTTTTTTTTTTTTTTGGTAGTTTAAATATCATCCATTACATCTGGATTTTAAAACACTGTTGCAACAATACCAAAAACATTTTTTTTTAATAAAAAAAGACTAATTATTTTCACTTATTTCTTATTGAAGAGTTGTTAAGATCTGTATGGATTAACAATGTACCTCTTATGAGGTACCATTGTACTTCAAGGCTTTAGCCACTTATCACAGATTTATTCACCTACAAACAGAATGAACGCTTGATCAAGGGCAAATTAAAACCACTCCTGGCCCCAAGTACACTTATAATTTTCAGAACGTTTCTCATTTTTGATGGAAAAATATGATTATGAGAAACCTGGCTCCTTAAATATTATCTACAAACTATAAACATTTCAAAGAACTTGTGAAACACTTAATAAATTATTACATTTCTATTACCACTATGGATACATACAACATAACTTCTTCAAAGATTATATTTTGAATAAGGATACAACTTGATGTATCAAGTTTTATTAGACTAAATTTGGCAACAATTTTATAACTGCAGAATATATTTACATGAAATGTAATTAACACAAACATTATGCAAATCAATTAACTTAAAATCCAGAAACTAACACAGATTAATTAAAACACCGAGGAAAATATACTACTCTGTGAACGATAAAAAATTAAATGTTAAAATTTCATTCTTTTACCAGTTTACAAAATAAACAGCAGAGAAAGTGAAAAACATGATAGGGCTAAAATGATTCTTTGAATACAACAGACAACAAATATTTTCCTGAATTTATCTTTCACACACTGAATTATCATTAAAAGACATCGACTGTAAATCAAGTAAATTCACTGTTTTGCAACCTTCTGAAAGATAATCTATAATTTTCATAATCGATTAGTCTTTAAACAATTATAGATCCAGGAATTCATTCATACTTACACTAAGTTGTTCATATGTATAAGAACAAAGTTACCATATCCTTTCTTATAATAGTGCACGTAAAAATTTATCGATGTGTATGCATTTCATGAATACATACATATCATGACATTTCTGAATCCGGTCTTTATAACAGAAGAATACCTATAATATATATGCACTCCGATGAAAAACAACACTGGAAGGTTGTTCTTATACTAAGAATAACTTCGTGCGAGCGTGAATAAATTTCTGTATCAATGACTAAAGAACAAAACAAGATTTACATACTTCAATTTTCAAACATAATATTCATAAAACAGTGTAACATAGTAACAAGAAAGCAAGGCATATTAACATGGCCATATGCCTTGCTTTCTTGTTCACATAGCCATTATCTGAAATGATAAAAACCACTATTTTTCCATTTATGGGATATTAAAAACGATATTTGATTTAACAATAGAGTTTTCATTACCAATCCATCAATTTGCACATAATCAATTGGACTTTCCGATTCAGGATCGTGTCTAGCATTACGTACAGTAGCCATCTTTCAACATCAGCTAAAGAGTTCAGACAGACAGACAAAGTAGACAGATGTCTTATTTTGCAACCGCTAAGTCTTTTTGCCCAGAAAATCGTAAATATTACTTCTCGTGTGCTACCACTTATAATTTACTCAAAATAGCAGGATTAATAGGATTAACAACAAGGAAACCTCCTTGATTAACAACACCCTCGAGCTTGTATCTATGATCTCTACAGAAATACGAATGAATCGACGAAGCCAAGTGATTTGGCGATAAAGTTAATATCTTCCTACACAACAGTAAATCCTCCATTTTTGATTTTTTCCCTTTTTCCCTTCGTGAAGATCTGTAAATAACGACTTTTTTGTTTTGACTAGTAATTCGCTTAAGAATGTAATAATATGAAATGTGTGAGCATTTGTAACTCTTGAAAATACTTTTGTAAGTTTTCTTCCACTTCAAGTTTGCATTTTGTCGTTCTTACAAGTAATATTTTTTGAAATTTTTTTTAAAACATGAAAATATTTACCTGACCTTTTTATTTCACTACATTATTCATTATGCGTTTTCATATTAAAAATAATATTTATAGAGTAATTGTTGAAATCTAGTTTTGGGATAGTCCTTGGGCATGAATCAGTTGACTTTTCAAACGAATCATTTAATTCAGTATATTTAATGTGAACATGAGTTAGTGAGGTTATAGTGCAAAAAATTTATTTTGTTTAATGAAAAGAATTACTTTCGATGTGGCATGAAATTACTCTTTAGCCAGATTTTTTCCTTTGAATTAACATTTAATGATCTGTATGCTCCTTATTGAGTTGCTGTGTATTAGTAGAATGACAGAATGAGAAGTGGAAACCAAACTTTTAGAAACTAAATTCTAAAAGATGTAAAGAAAATTTGTATGACTGTGTGATAAACTCAGTAATTCAGTTTATGTGCCATTAGATTTCTCTGACTATAATACAAAAACTTGGTTGGAGAGAGCTTGTTATTAAGAGTGATGCTTAAAGCTCAGTGAAATTGATGATTGTTTACATATATTGTATACTTTCTAGTTTTTAATGTTGCTAAGTAAGTGAATCCTTTATTTGTGATAAATATTTAATGAGAATTAAAATAGGACCAGTTTTATTGTAATTTGGTATCAAAAGAAGGAGATGTGTATTAAAACATGCAATATTTGTTACGGAAGTGAGATATGAATCAGTTTATCAGGTCTGATTAGTTGAGGACTGTATTGCATAAAAATGCAACCAATCAGTTGATGAGGACTGTATTGCATAAAGATGCGATTAAATAAAATTTTTATGTCTCAAAATTGTGGGTTTATTTATTCAGAAGTCATTGCATCAATGTGTTTTGAAACGTACAGTGTCTCAAAAAGTGATGGGACACTTGTGCTTTACAAAAGGAAACTGCAATAAAATAAATTTAAAAAACATGTAAAATTTTTTGTGGGTGCGTTTCATACTTAAATTTAGTAACAATTATTACATAACATACATTTTCTCAAAATATTAAAATATTAATTTAAAAAATACAATTGTTTAGAATGGAGCAAAAATGGCTCACTTAAGTGATGGGACACTACGTACTATGCAACAAAAATCGTTAAAGTAAGCAATAAAAATATTTTGGGGTATTTATATTTTTACTCAAAAGCAATTGGCAATAATTTATAAAATCGTCTGCAGTATTTCTCTCCAGTTTGTTTTGGAATTTTTTTTGTTTTTAGCTCTGTGCAGCCATGAATGCTAAACGAAAAAGAACTTGCCTGGAAATTCAAAAATTAGTTATTAATTTGCATATTGAACGTGGAAAATCTATTAGAGAAACTACTGAAACAGTTAACTTCAGTCATTTAACAGTTTTCAATATCATTAAACGATATAAAAAGAATCATATGATTCAGGATAACAGAAGACCTCGCCGACCATCAAAGCTATCCAAAGGAATAAAGCGAATTATCGTTGGAAATATTAAAAAAAAAAAAAACTCCAAGAATGAGTGCTCCTATAGTTGCTGTCTGATTTACAAGCATTATATGGAGTAATTGTTAATCCTGAGACTATTATAAGAGTAATTAGATATGCTGGATATCACGGTAGAGCAGCCAGGAAAAAATTCTTCTTGAGTGAAAAGAATAGACAACTCAGACTGGCTTTCGCAAAATCCAACATAAATAGGAATTCTGATTACTGGAATGAAGTTATATTTGCTGATGAGAGTAAATTTAATATATTTGGTTCTGACGGTAGAATCTTGTTGTGGAGAAAACCCAGGGAAGAATTTCGCAAACAGAACTTGGTGCCAACATGGTGGAGGAGGAGTTATGGTATGGGGGTGTATGTCGTCCGCTGGAGTTGGTAATCTTGTTTTTATTGATAGTATAATGGATCAGTACAAGTATATTGACATTTTAAATCAAAATTTGAAATCTTCAGCACGAAAATTGAACCTTCATAACGATTTTAAATTCTACCAGAACAATGACCCCAAGCACAGTGCTTTGAACGTTAGAACTCTGGCTGCTGTATAACTGTCCTGAAATAATAAAAACACCCCACAATCTCCACAATTAAATCCCATAGAGAATATTTGGCAAGAATTGGAATCAAGAATTCGCAAACACACCATTTCTTCAAAACAACAATTAAAATCGGTGCTTCAAGAAGAATGGGGGTAAAATCACTCCAGAAATCACAAAAAAAATTAGTCGAATCCATCCCAAAAAGATTAAATCATGTTTTAAAAGTAAAAGGAAATCCAACAAAATTTTAAAAACCTTTTAAAAAGTAAAATTTTTGGATAAATATTTGATAGAAAAGTAAGTGTCCCATCACTTAAGTGAGCCATTTTTCTGCTCCGTTCTAAACATTGTATTTTTATTAAATTAATATTTTAATATTTTGAGAAAATGTATGTTATGTAATAATTGCTACTAAATTTAAGTATGAAACACACCCAGAAAAAATTTTACATGTTTTTAAAATTTATTTTATTGAAGTTTCCTTTTGTAAAGCACAAGTGTCCCATCACTTTTTTGAGACACTGTATGTGACGTGGGAGGAAAAAATTTATAAGAAAAAACACTTTGATGTTGTATTTTAGTGAATGACGTGGGGTTGTATGTAGGATTAGATGTGTATGCACTCTTAAATATCTTTCAAATAAAATGGTAAGTTTTTTAACTGTTTTATCATATTTAACTTTTAAAGTTATAAAACACCAATAATTTGTCCTTTGTTCAGCTCTAGAGTTATTATATAGAGTGGATGCATTGGATTTTATCCATGTGGAATATAAATATAATCGATTTCATATAGAAAGTCATCCATAAAGGCACCCTTGTCGAATAACCCAAGTATGATTTATAGAAATGAATGAAATCTTTTTGTCATATATGAAGTTGAATTTAATAATTCATAAATGGGATTAGCAAGCTTGTTCCACAGTTTTAACTGAAAGAAATAGTTTTCTTCCATTTAGTGGAAAAATCTCATTTTTGAATGTGTTTAATTTTTATATTGTTTTTACGTATATTTGTTCCATATTAAATGTAAAGTTACACTTATATTACTAATTTTAAATACTTTCATTTTTATATGATTTAAGAAGCCTTATTTGTATGCTTACAATAGTTGTTTATTGTCTGTATGTAATATATCTAGTAATTATTAAATTGTATCCTTTTTCTGATCTCTATCTATATATGTACTTGCTACGAGATCTGTTCTATATCTCTGAATTTAGATGTATTCTGAAACTGAATTTCTCTTCATATATTAAGAGAGAAAAGAAAGTATGAAAGATTACGATGAACCTTTACCAAACATGTTGTTATTGCGAGTATAGCAAAATCATGTTCCACTTTTAACATTTTGTGAAAAAAAATGTACTGACTATAATTCAGATTAATAAAGTATATATAATTTAAATAAACCTAAACATTGTTGTAATTAAAAGGGAAAATAAAACATATGCTGAATGAAATGATTTTTGTTGCTGCTTAGTAAGTGCGTGATGCAATTATTATTATTATTTTATTTTGAAGCTGGGAATTTTTGCCTGGGGCAATGAGTGATGTAACTTTTTAAAGAAAGTTTTGTGGTAAGGAGTGAAGAGTTATTTTTATTCCTGTAATAAAGTGTCCTCCTCTTCCTTCATTAGGTAATCTGGATTATAAAATTGGACAGTTCCTTTGCCTTTTTAAAAATTGGTTTAATTTCTTTTAAGTAAATGGAGCTGTAATAATTCTTTATTATCAGTGCTTTCACCATTGGCTGATGTTATAAAATCATCCATGTCTTCATTCATTATTTCTCAGTTAATTGACTTCTTACATATTTGAAAATTCTTCTCTGCCAGTTTTGCAGTTTATGTGATATCTTTGGCAGCATTTTGAATTGATGGAAATCCTTTAAAATCATTCATAACTTCTGACCAGAACTGATGCTAGTGAGCATTCAGTGTTGAATCACTTGCACCAGTAATTTTTACATTTTCATCTGTAAAAAATTGTCAAATTATGCCAAGGTGGTTGCATTAATATGTAAGTACTGAATAAGCTTGAATTAGATACTGAACAAAACCAACTTTTGAAAAGAGGTGGTGAATATAAAAGATTGGGAAATTTTGATGCAAATAAACATATGCAAAGTAAATTACCTATCGTAAAGAAGTGTTTCTAAGTCAAGAATGTGAAATTTATTCAATAAATATGTCTTGCATGTATTCTTAACCATTAAATTTTATATGTTACTATTTTATTACATATGAAGTAGACATTATATAATTTTTCTAAGGTGTATTATATAATTTTCCCTATGTGCAGGATGCTTCAGAGGGTAAAGGAAAAGAAAACATTGAATAACTTTTGAATGAAAAAAGATTTTTATTTCAAATTTTCAGGATTTACCTATGAGAATAAAGAAAATTAAAAGCTGAGTTTCTCTAAATGTTTGCCATCTTAGGAGACAATGAAATGAAGTCTGCTCGAAATTCGCAATAACCTGCTCGATTCATCTCTGGAAATTGACCTACCTTATCACACTTGTTATTGCTAATTTCAGCTTCTCTATTCTTTTTGACTGATCTCTGTAGACTTGATTTTTAACATTGTCCCATAAAAAGAAGTCTAGTGGTGATAAGCTAGAAGGAGGCCAAAAATGTCCATTTCCAAAGTGGTTTGTGAAACCTCTTGGGAGGACCCGATTATCATCTTAACTTCTGAGCAAGTCCAGGACACCTGTTAAATGTAGAGGCACTCCATCCTGCTGAAAACATATGTGTTGGATTCTGTGTTCTTCATGGGCATCGGGAATGAATCTCTTTCTCAAAAAAGTTGCGATAGCATTCATAATTAACTGTCTAGATAAAAAAATACTGATCCAAAATGCATCAAGCACACAAACCACACTGGTTGGTGACCTTTTGTCTATGAAGAGGCTTGACAAATTCTGTCTTCTGTCCCAAATCTGATAATTTTTTCTCACATGTGTATGCAAATGTACACAATTTTAGTATAAACACTTTTTTTGAAATTCAAAATGTTGTTTTATCAAGTAAAATCTTCACAAACTTTAAATATTTTGTATTTTTTAATTTGTATTTTTAGATACTTGGGTTATGGAAGGTTCAACTTCTGTCTCTAGTGATGGTAAGACTTTATGCCAATTTTTTTCCCTCTACAGATTTTGTTATGAAATGTTAATAAAAAATGGATTATACTTTAAAAGATATTTAATACAGAAATAAAGCTGATAGCTTTTTTAATGAAAAATTATAATAATAGTGTTTTTCTATTGATAGCTCTGTAATGAAAAACAAGTCTATTTTTGGGTTAATGACTTTATTTTATCTGTGGTTAATTCAGAGATTCTTTTACTTTGGGCCCACTTTTTCTCATTGAAAAGTCTTCAACACCTGAGGTCATTTTGTTTAACAGTTTCTGAATTAATGTTTATTGACAAGAATATTAAATAGAAAATTATTTGATAAACATGTAAATTTATATCGATATTAGGCAGTATACTTGTAGAGTTTATTAGGGCCTACTACTAGCTGAGTAATTAAAACTTTGAAGGAACTATACTTCTTTCTGAGTTGTTCCCAGTAGTGAACACAGATTCCTATGGCTTTCCTCATGTGTAATGTAATTATTTAATTCAGAAAATTTCTCTATAAAACTATTTCTCTGTGTAGACAAATAATCCTTATGTACTTCGCACAAATAAATAAAACCTAAACCCAGCATAAAAACAACCTCAAAATTCGAGAAGCACTTGAAATCATCATCAAGCTGTATTGCAATAGAAACCTTCCCTTCAATCTTCCATACATCTGGACATCTATTTTGAGCACAGAAATCCCGGGAAAAACATAAAAGATGACAAATAATGATGAAGCCATCCACTCCAGCTCCAGATGATGCAGTAGACATGTGATCTGGGAAAGCTTCTGTAGTTTTATTTTATTTATGATTGAATGTGGTTCCAGAGAGTCAATCTAGAATATTTGATCCCATTTTTAAAAATAAATAACCATCTGTGTAATAATTTAAACATTTATATTTATGCAACATTTTGATTATGAAGTTTAGAAGGAATGCTTATAAAGGCTATTTAAAATTCATATTTAAAACAAATGAAATTCGACAGTAAACTAAAACATAAAACTGGTTTTCCTTCAACTGTCTAAATTCCGAACATCTTTTTTAAACACCTGTTTATTATTTTTAAATAAGCTGATTTCATATTCTGACAAAACAAACAGTATTGCAACTTGAGATAAATATTTGTTGTTAGTCTTATGCTTGAGCACTCCAGTAAAATAAATGCATAGTTACTTCTTAAATAATTAAGTCCTTGTTATGTAAATGAAAAAAATCTTCACCGAGTGTTAATTTATGATGAAATGCTATATCAAAGCAATATTTTTCATACTATTTGGGTTTGCCATTTTGAACAGAGTATTTGAGAGACAATTAGTAAGTTCTGAGCCTACGTTTGACATAATTGGGGAATAATGAAGCAGAGAGAAATGATTGCATCCTCCTGTGGAAGTATAGAAAGGAAAATATGCTCAGGAAGTATTATTATTTGCATTTTGAGAGATTGTCTAATAGTGTTAGCTAATGATATCAATGTAATACTGAAAGATGTCAGACATCATTCTCGATGACTGAATTTTTAATGAACAAAAGCATCAATATTCTTGAATGCATGATTACACTCATTAGCAAGCCTAGCGCAAAGTGCATTCATTGGTCCAGTTATCAAATGGCTATAAAACTACGTACATACACTAAAGACTTGGCTTTCCAAATGGAAAATCCTTGTAAATGTAGAAAAGACCAAAGCTGTTTTATTCACAAAAAAAGACTAAGATCAGCAAAAATCTACAGTTCTATAGCACCAACATTCCATGGGCCAAGCAAGTCCCCACACATCACATTGTGTACATGATCCACAAGTGTACATGATCCCCACACATCACATTGATTATCCAGAAGTTTCGAGTAATTTTCACAATAGGCAACTCATAGACAACCCAAGCATAAAAATATGCGATTATGATTGCAATAGCTTAAGTAACATGGACAGGCCTTTGGCCCAGTTAAATATTTGGATAATGTAATCCACATTTTCTTCCTTCATTTCTCGTGATGTTATGTACCACCCCATGTTTGGCTGTCTGTGTTCACTGTATAATGTTTTTGATTTTATGTACTTTGTATTCTATATGTTACTCGTATATTTATTGTTTCTCTTTTTATTTTCTGTATTGTGTATTTTTGCATTCTTATATTATTATGGATTCAGGCTTCCAATGTTTGCATGTATCATTACTGTGACATTAACATCAGCTCGACAGCCTCTGTGCCTTAATCATTAACAGCTTATCAAATTCTCAGTTAATTTTGCTCATTTCAGTTACTAGTACTTTAACTTTGTACTCATTCATATCATAAATTTAATTTTAATTAATTGAAAATAAATAAAATATTATATCCTAATTTGAGAGATTGTCTAATAGTGTTAGCTAATGAAATCACTAATTATTCTACATGGGGTAGAGCTAGGCTCGGGCACCCAGGTGTTGCAAACACCGTTCTACAGGGAGGTCGAATGATTACACTCTATGGCAGGGTTTCTCTGTATTTCCCCCTCCATACACCCCTTCAACCATTGCTAGAAGATCATCCCTCCCCTTTTCTAAAACTTGAAAAATAAAAAAGAACATTTAGCTAAATAAATGTAACATCTATATACATTTATTAGATTTAGATGACTTTTTAATATGTTTTATTAACAACAAAAAGTGTAAAAAATGTTGGTAAATAAGCAAAACTTCATTAAAAGTAGTTTTTTATATTCATAAATTAAAACTAAATACTTAACAGCTAAATAAAAGGCTGTCAGCATTCTTCCCCCCCCCTAAAACTATGAAATTTCACCCCGGAGGGAAATTCCACCCTGGTTGAGAACCCCTAGTCTATGGCGATACAGCACCATTATATGTGGGCTGCTGTGTTTAGCCTTGGAGATGATCCCAGACTAGGGACAGTGTTGATGTAATACCTGAAGAAATGTGTGTTAAAGTCAATGATTGAACATAAAGAAGTAAGAATTTCTCACATTGCTATAAAAATGGGTGTCAATGTTGCCAGGGGTTCTCAACTGGTGGTTTGCAAGAGAAAAATAGGTGGTAAACAAAGAAACAAAGTATTTTTAACTATTAAATTAAAAAATCTCATGAAGAAAAAGAACAATTGATAAAAATTTCCTGTGATAGAACTCTAACTGAAGATTGTGCAAGTAACACACTTGCTAACTTTTGGCTAAACCCCCCCCCAAAAAAAGAATTTTAAGGTGTTTCAAATTAAGCTGTTAAATTTCTGTTGCCTTTTTCCACAACCTATATGTGTGAACAAGTGTTTTCGGTACTTTTCTGTTTTGCCGGCGCAGGTGATAGAATCGCCAATAATGGTAAAACTGATGCCAAATGGAACATCCTCGCTGGTACACCTCATTTTCAAAACAAATCACAGCCATTTCTAATCATATTGATTGTTTCTTTCAATACTGGCAGACAATTACATAGGATTTTTACCAGATAGTTCAATTTTATGCCCTAAGGCCATTCGTGGTAATTAAGTCAATTAGGATGCAATCACACCGCTTACCCGAATGCGAAAATATAGAAAAGGCAAAGTCAAGGATTAAATTCATCAATTCTAATGAGAATGCACTAGCGGAAGTAAGCACTGCGGTTTTACATAATTTCTGAGTAAGTATTCGTACGAATTGAATAATTCTTGCAATTTACACTTGTATTCCAAATTAAGATTTAACTTGAAATTAATGTAGATAATAACTGACAGAATTAGATTTTTGTAGCATAGTTTACGTGAGATGAGATCACTTGGGGTCACGTGGTATGAAGCGGCGAATCAGGATGATGAACCATGAAAGCATAGTACATTCTTAAATTAATGTCGTTTCACAAATTTATTGTCTTTTTACAAAATTTTAAATGATATTAAAAAGTTTATGCCTTCAAAATCGAAATTCCTTAGAACTAACATAGGTTAACTTTTTTTATTTGTATACTGTGTGTTGTCGCCAATAAAGCCTGCTTGGCGAGATTTGCGCCGGTGAAACAAAAAAGTACCGTATTTTCTTCCATGTTTTATTTGAAAAAGAAATACAGAACAAAATTAACATAGATCTTAATTTATAGTTAAGTTAAGTAAAATAAATAGCCAAAGAAATTGATCTCTCTTAAACAGGCCCAAATTTCATACTAAATTTTAGAATTAAAGTATTGTAACTTAAATTTTGATAATTAAAATGGTAGCCAATTTTTAATCTAATATTTTTTAGGTGTGCACAGTTAATATAGCCAATAAGTTGCGCAAATGGCAAAATATATTTTTTTAAATATTTCGATTGACACATTGAAAAATAATCATTGTAAAATGTAGTGTTGGTACTAAAGTTTTTCAATTTTTGCTTAGATGGTATGCATTAGTCAAAAGGTTGAGAACCACTGATCTCTGCAATTTCACAATTTAATTTTTTTGAAAGGGTCATTGCTTTTTGTTACATGCACCATCATACCACAATAGGAAAGTTTATTATGCTAACTTTGGGGATGCATTGCAAAAATGCATTGTTTTTGTGCAGTAATGCAAAATTTCACTAGGTCGAGATTTTATAGGCTACTATTCAGCAGTAAGCATTTCCGTTTCTCTGCCATCCAGTGTATTTAAGTGAGTCCAAGTGACTTCTGATTTAATTTTGTTTCAAACTAGAAGAAAGAACTAGTAAACTATCTTTATTATTATTATTATGTAAAATTTCAGGTATTTGCTTTAATTTTAATCCAGTTAAGTAACCTTTCAAAATATTTTCAAGCATGTATTTGCTTAGATTACCAGATATTTTCTGAGGGTAAGTGGTTTTTTAACTTAATCCTGCTATTTTCTCCTGCTATTTTCTGGTTGGTGATCTATCACTATGCATTGATTTATTTTTGTTAAAATCTGCAGAAATATTCATCCTTGATGTTTTAGTTATTTATCAAAATTTTCCACTGAAATTCAGTTAAAATTATTTTATTTAGAAAATTAGTAACATGGATAAATATAAAAAAGTATTTCAGTTTGCAAAATGCATATGAGTTAACTTATATGCATGATAAAGTTATTTACTTATGGTTAGGATTTTTTAATCAGTTGAAGCATGAAAATTAAAAATTATAATAATATTATTCATTTTGCATTGCAGTATTTCTTAAATCTGATATAACATAAACTTGTGTTGAAGATATTTAGTTATATGATAAGTGGTTTTGGTGTAGAATGAACTTGTATTAAAGAAATTGAAACTTAACAATTTATGCATTATTATGGGACTAGGAACTCAGTATTACTTTATGGTAAGAAAAACTACAATGTATTGAAGTTTTTAATGTGGGCATTTTTTCTGTTGATTATGGTTGTAACTCATTAGTAGCAGTTTTTGATTAGGTTATTATCTTCAATGAGTTATGAAAACTTATTAGTTACCTGGGTAAATATTTTAGCAAACTACGTGGGATTTTATTAAATTTTATGGTTTTATTTAACAGCATTTTACTAACAAGGCTCTTGACTCACCAGATTTCATTGAAGTAATACTTTGCAGTTTAAGTAAGAAGTTTTGTGTTGCATTCATTTATTACAAAATATGGGAATTATATACAGAGAATATTTTTCAGGAATAGATGGGGCCAATAAATTAGAATGTGCTGTATGTCTACAACCTTGTATACAACCTGTACAGCTTCCATGTCGCCATATTTTTTGTTACCTTTGTGTAAAAGGTGTTACTCAGCAGAGTAAAAGGTGTGCCATGTGCCGTCAGGTAATACAGTTTTATATATCCATACATGATGTATAATGGCTTATAAATATGTGTTGTACAATTTCATAATTTGTTCACAGTTTTGAAATTTTCTTAGTAACTCATATGTTTTAAAATTTCAATGAGTATGAAAGGAAAGTGTATTTTACATAATGTGGTAGAGAAAGAATGCTATTACTGATTGATTTTTAAAGTAAATCAGTCAATACAAGTATTGCCGAGCTATCGTTAATATGTGTGATGTTGCTGGCTTACTAAAGTAAATGGTATTTTTTGCATTTATCTATAGCAAAATTGGCAGTTGAATGATTTTTGGCTCATGCCAAAATGAGGTTATTTTGAGTAATACTTCTAATCAATGGCAGTTCATCAACTGATAAATTTATCAGCTCATTTTATATTGAATAAAAAATTATGAAAATGTGATAATATAACATATTTAATAATATTTGATTTTGTTAAGATAAATTTCAAAAAGATAAAAAGATAAATTCAGTTTCTTTTAATAATAAAATAATAGTTTACAATCATGACATACTTAAAATTCCCCATTTCTGTTTTTTTATGCATTAACTTGACAAAAATGAAAAATGGCATATTTAATAAGATGTCTTTATATTAGTTTTTGATGAATACCAGTTATATCACATAAAGCATCTTATTACATAATAATTAAAAACTGATAATTAAAAATGGCAATATAAACAATAAATAACTAGGGTTTCTTCCACCATATTCAACTATTAAATGGTATGCCAAGTGGCTAAAAAATTTTTTATTTTATTAGATCCCATATTATGGAGTAGCAAAAGCTTGGTCAAAAGTAAAATTAATAGCACTGGTTTGATCATGGAGAAAGATTCTTCCTAATATAGAAATTGGAGATTTATCTAATTGTGAAGAAGTTGAGGCAATAAATGAATTTGTATGCCAGAAAATTGAAGATTTAAAATTCTTTGAAAATTTCAATAGGGAGAGTATCAAGGAATAGTTCGATGGTGATTTGACTGAGCTGAGCTTTTAGTGTTTGACTGATGATGATATCATTTCAACTGTAACAAAAATAAAAGATGCAGAGATTGATACTGAAAATGCATGTGAAGAAGATATTGAAAATTATCTGAAACCCGTGATGGTAATGACTTCTGTTGAAACTCTGTTAGACTTCATCGACAAAAGAAAATTTAAATACAATGATAAAATGGCACTTAAAAAACATGGAGTCAAATTTGCCAAATATTTAAAACATTCTCAAAAACCAAGTAAAACACATGAAATACGCATGAACATTTATAGCTTGGATTATTGGTGTTTTCCACTTATTCATGACTTGCTTCCCGGCATTAGCCAGGATAATCAAGAGTACATTGTATTTACTTTCATCCTGCTTATTGGTGCCATATAAATTTTCCTAAATGGCAAGCCTTTTATCTTAGTCTTTTGTTTTGCCATTTGACCGCATCCCAGAATCGTTCGGTTTTCTGTACATTTGCCCCAAATGTTGTATCTACAAATTTGAATTTATAATTCACCATAAAATGTTGAAAACCAGCCTTTTCTAGTTCTTACTCAGACAAGCATGCCAGAAATCTGAGTATATTGTATTTTCTTCATGTGTATATATAAATATTTGTCATAATCATCAAAATTTTGTTGCCCATGTCTAGTATTAGCCTAAGAAGATATTTCTTCATATCTCCACAGATTTGTTCCCAGATCCATTTTTTTTAGCAGAATGCTTCTTTTGCATAACAAATGGCCTTTCATTAATCTGGACAATTTTTCAGGTGCACTGGTTTTACCTTTTGAGTGTGTGATAAAAAACAAGCAACAAACTCCTCTCATATAGTTGTTCCAATCAATCACTGTGTTTCCACTCATATTACCTGTCTGTTGCATCTGGTGGAGGTTAGTTCTTTTGTCCAACAGTATATGAAGTGCAAAATGATTGGGGAGGGGGAACCTGTAACAGTAAAACTGATTATAGACACAAAGACCATTTTTTTTTTTTTTTTTTTTTTTTTTTTTTTTTTTTTTTTTTTTTTTTTTTCTGTGCAGCTTTTTGTTCTGCATGTCCAAATACAGGGGTTTGAAAAAATATGAAAACACCTCATAAAATGCATGTTTGAACTGAAATGTTTATTCTTGCAAAAGCTGTTGCTGATGCTGGTGTATTTGTGCACTAGTGCCACCTTATAACACGTTGAATACGTTGCAAGTGTCATTCATTGTCGAGACAGTGCCCTGTGCAGTTGTGAGTGCATCCTGCCAGAGTTAAAAATGAATTCGAATGTGGGTAAATTTTTGGGGCTTGTATGGTGGGTGCTTCCATAACCAAGGTAGCTGAAGTGTTTGGTGCTTCAAGAGGCACTGTATCTAAGAATTTCAATTCATACAGGAAAGTGGAAAAACTGCATCCACTAAATCACTGCGAATAAAAATGTGTGTTGCGTGATCGTGACAGATGATCATTGAAGAGGATTGTGATGAAAAATAAGAGGATTACAGCTCCAAAAGTGACTGCTGAACTGATTGTTGCACTTGCAAACCTTGTCAGCACTATAACAAAATGAAGGGAGCTCCATGAACAGTGTATGTTTGGGTGAGTTGCAATTCAAAAGCCAGTCATCAGTGATCAAAATGCCTGTAAGAGGAGAAAGGGGTGTCAAAGTCATAAAACTTGGACTGTAGAGCAATAGAATATTGTCATTTGGTTGGATGAGTCTTGTTGTCTGGCCCATGTGTATGATACAAACTGTTTGCTGAGTGAAACATGTTGGGGGATTGGTCGTGGTTTGGGCAGCCATATTGTTGTATTCCATGGGACCCATTATTAATGTGCAAAGTCACATTACTGCCAAGGATTGTATGACCATTTTGACTGATAACGTCCATCCCGTGGTACAAATTTTGTTTCCCAGTGGTGATGCTATATTTCAAGACGACAGACCATCTGTTCATTCATTTCACACCCTAGACCACATCTTAGAGTAAAAACATAATGATGGATAGGAAAGAACAAATGATGTCACTTAGAAATTACTACGTACGAGGGCCATCCAGGAAGTAGATTACGTTTCCGTCTGTGTCCGCTAGGGGCGGGGCTAGCGCGGCCATCTTGGGGTCAGAGCGTTGCGCAGCTCAGTCTGCATCTAGCCGTGCTAGTGAGAGGTTCGTGCGGTGCTCCGTCAGATACTGTGACGGTTTGAAATGTCTGCGTTAATTGAAAATCCCGCGAGCTGCGAGGTGCGCTCAGTAATAAGGTTTCTGACTGCAAAAACTGTAAACCGATAGAAATCTATCGGCAGCTCGTGAAGTGTATGGGGGAACATTATCACTGAAGGTGGAGTGCGTCAGTGGGTATAAGATTTCAAAACCCGAACCAATGTTCACGACGAAGATCGAGGGAGACCAGCATAGTGACCGCCAAACTTCTCGAAAAAGTCGATGCTAAAGTCCGTGAAAATCGAAATTTCACAATAACGGAACTTTCTTTGAGTTTTCCACAAATTTCGCGAAGTTTGTTGCACGAAATCATCAGCGAAAAAGCTTGGTTACCACAAGTTTTGTGCAAGATGGATTCCAAAAATCAGCGAATGGCTGCACGTTGAACTTTTTGGACGCTTACCATAAGGATGGTGACTCTTTACTCGATCGCATCGTTACTGGTGACGAAACATGGGTGTGAAACATGTGAACTGTTGAAACGAAATTGCAATCAATGCGTTTTGATGACGACGCACAGCTGCAAGAAGAGGTAACGAAGTGGTTGAAGGCGCAAGGCGGCCGAATTTTTCGACGAAGGAATTCCAAGCTCGTACATCGCTACGATAAATGCCTTAATTTGTATGGTGACTATGTAGAAAAAGTAGTATTTGGAGTGTGGCTTTCATCTGTATATAATAAAATTTGTTTCCTATACTTTGTTATTTTTTTATTCCAAAAACGTAATCTATTTCTGGATAGCCTCGTATTTACAATTCATGGAAGTAAAATGATCACATTGCAGTTGCAATTTTTACAGTAGAAATAGGTGATCAGTGATTTTGATTGCAGGCGTGGACATGTTTACAAAAGAATGTTAAGCATAGGTGCCAGAGTTGTGATTTTATGAATGGTTGCAATAATACTGTTGCGTGCGTACGGGTTCGTTATGAAATGAATGCACAAGTCCGGTGAAAAATGAAAAAAAAAAAATTATTATTATCACAACAAAAATGCTTAAATTTTCTCAAATTATCATACAGTATTACAATATCTCACAGTAGTTATCTTTTAACTACTCAAATGTCTAATAGAACGTAATTCAAAACAGCTAAAGAACGCTAATCCGCGAATTCGCTACAATCAACAAGAGCAGTTTTTCTAAACAACAACAAACTAAGCAACTACCTACGAACTGAGATGTTTTCCTCCTTTTATAAGATTTTAAAATCACGCGCTAGAATTTTCCAGTACTTTCTCGAAATCAAAAAGAGATATTTATTTATTTAATGCACGCGCTCTTGTATTTTCAATTTTTCCGGCTTAGCTTTCTTTTAATATTCGTCACGCGCTGCACTGCGCGAGAAATAAAATAAAACCATTTAATTTATAATTGAACTAACATTAGCTTTTTAAATACCAAATTTGTAACACTGCTCCCTTCCCAAGGACTGCACGTCCCGGGCAGTACAATCCCTGGACAGGAAGCCAAACTTACAACTGAGGCATAAATGCAATAAATAAAACAAATCATATGCTATCAAATACAAATCAAATACAAAATACATATCAAATACTAAATACAAATCAAATCAAATACACATTTTAAAACAAAAGGACCATGGTCTTATACTATTTACAATTATTTACATTACGTACTATGGCCATAGTAATGATGAGCTAACCTTTGTTCGTTTTTTACTTTAGAGTTCGAAGACTTACGAATCCGAACCACGATGTCATTCAGCCTATTTAGGACTGTATACGGGCCATCCCAAGGTGACTGTAATTTCGGA